CCGGAAGCATAAACACCCACAGTTCCAGAGCCCCCCACCCCAGCACCCGGACACCCTGGTCCCTGCAGAAAGGCCACAGGCTCCCCGAGGCGCCCGGTGTGCCCACGCAGACCCCCAGAGAGCCTCGCCCTGTGAGCGGCGGGAAGAGGCTGCACGTCCCACCGCTCGGTCGGTAACAGCAGTCAGTGCGGGCCCTCGCCAGCCCTCCTCCAAGGCGCCTGTGCTCAGCACACACACACTCCGCTGTGCCAGGCGACTCGGACCCGCCGAAGAGGAACCGGGGGAGGTTTCTGTTGTCAAATAGTAGCCTTTTGAGATCAAGGGTTGCTCCAAAAGGTAAGCTTATGAGGTCGCTGACTGATCTTAGTAACGCATTTACGAGCCAGACAACCGTGTTCAGCATTTCTGCCGGTTCCAATAAGCCTGTCAGCTATCGCTGCTCACAGCTCAGTCCACCTCATTGAAAAACGGCCTTTCTTCTGCACATGCACATCCTGAGATGTGGGTCTTTCATCAAAAGGAAAAGCAGTTTCCCATCTAAAAAGTAATCCTAGCCTCCTTCACGGAAGTTTAAAGTGAACCCCTTCGTTCCAGAAAGCAGGACTGCCGGCCGGTCAGGCTGTGGGCAACCCCCAGGGAAAAGGGCAGAAGCCTGAGACCACTGCTTCCAACGAGAAGCCAAACCTATGACCAGACCATAGGCTCCGTCCTGTCCTCGTCTCCAAATATTCTAGGAACGCCGTGCAAACAGCCGATGCCGCGACTCAGCGAGTCTAACAATCTACACTAATAAAAGAGAAACATGGTAACATGGGTACGACCGCTACCATTTTCATTGGCTAATCAGTGAGTATATGCAAATTAACTGTCAGCCAAGATGGCGGCCGGCAGCCAGGCACTGAAGCGAGCACGAGGCTTGCTTGCTGCAGACTCCAACGTTCCCCGCCTCACTTGCCAGCCTCTCATCTGCAACTCTAAGCAACTATATACTATGTTGCAAATAAGAAG